AACTTTTGCCCCTTTCTTGGAAGATGACGGCTTATCTGTAGACTCCGATGTCTTCTTCGCTGTCTGACCAACTTTCCTGGGCGGTCTTGAAACTGTAACTGGAGGGGATGATTCTGTGGGGAAAATATTTTCAAAAAAGTCTTGACTTGGAGAGTAATGTACAGAATGTGCACTTTATAAATCCAATTACTTTTCCTTGACAATATCAATGACATGCTTTAATTTGTAAGCGGGTTAAAAAATGAAAAACGAATGTTGGCATTCCCCTGCCTAAAATGACCATAAAGATACTGTTTTATTGAGATTTATTTTCATGATTATTTACCGATTTCTTCACTGGGAGTGGGAGTGGGACTGGGTCTGGGAGGCATCGACTACAAACCCAGGTATCTGGGATTGTATCGGCACAAACTCCAGCGCAGCTATTATGCCACCAAACAACGGTGCATTGATCGTCATCACACGCGATCATCTCCATAGTGGAGGGCTCCCCGCATACACAATACTGCCGACCGTCCTCTTCGGACTCATTATCGAAGTCAGCTACATCGTTTTCGTCAAATGCTTCGTCAGAAATGTCCCTCAAATCGCTTAAATCGGAGCCCGTCACGAAATCATCTTTACCGTACGCCGCCATTTTAAAACATGGCGCGGGCGCAGCACGCATGCGTGACAATCCCAAAATGCTTTGCGGCGAGTGTCTGGACTGCGGTAGACTGCGCTAATTGATTTACTGATAGCGCTCGCGGGTGTTTATGCAGCCTGGACCACTGCTGTTTTTACGACCACGGTAACGAACCCTGAACCTTTCATTTAATGGTCGTTCCAACTCCTGTCTATTCCTTCCTCCATGGTAATAGCTACACCAACCAGGAAAAAACGGGGGTTGGTGATAACTTAACACTTGCAGCGGATACCGATGCTTTATATATTTTCATTATTATTTTTATTATTATTATGTTGTAGTTAGTTTGTTTGGCATAACATGATGCCTGCGATCAAGTTTTTTTAAGGTACCAGCAAAGACACGCCTTCGTCAAATGGTACCCTCTGTACCAGAATTCATAACAACACAGTAAGTTATCTCTGCCTAATACTGTCTGTCCCGTGCTGCTCAGTTTTTGCACTTGGTGCATCTGCACATCAGTGTGCAGTAGTAACCCAGATTCCTACAGGAGCACACCTTAGTTGTACATGCTGTTTTGCACTGCCACTTCTTTATCTTGGATACAAAATATCTTCTTACACATCCGCAAAAGGTGAATACTCTATGGCTGGAATCATAACTAACTGCAGCACGTCTTTTCGCAAAAGTGGACCCCGAAAGTCATTCTCGCACGCATAGCACAAGAACAAAACAGAAACGCCTAGTTTTTAATGGATGTTTATATTCTACTTTTGAATGTTCTTTCTGATTAACAACATTTTGTTTAAAGCATGTTTTGTAGCCCAATTGGGCTCATTCCAGGATGCAGTTCCCTTTAATGACTCCCCACAGAGGTCCAAACTGGTGGTGTGATGAAACTGACGGTAGCTTTCTTAAGAAGGCCGTTGCCACTATTTTCCCTTATGAATAATTTATGAATTCATAACAACACATTATTTATATCTCACCTCAACTGTTTTGGCAGGTCTTGCATTTGCATGTGTGGTCGCATTTGCAAACATACACTTACACTTATTATTCATGCAGTGCACTTTGCACCTGCACCCCCGGCCCCCACGCTGCAAACAAAGACAAACCCCAAAACAATCCAATCATCACAGAAAATAATCAATACAGAAAATAATAACAACTTTCAACTACTATCAACATAATAATTACTAAAAGCACACGAAACAAATGAGCAGAAATGAAACTTTTCCGATTTTAATCAACAAGCTTTTAAACAAGACAATATTAATAATTACTAAAGCACAAGAAAAAAGAATTGAACAAAATAAATGACAAGGTACATGCAAGCAAGCTAAATGAATATCAAACATATAAAACAACAAATTACATGCACACAAAGCATGCAAAGGCAATGAACAATTTAAATGTCCAGAATGATGTTAGAGGGAGTTTGATATTGATGACTTGTAAAAGTCAGCAAATACTCCACCGTTTCCACGCCATTTACCTGCATAGAAGCAGAATTTCTTCCCTGCCTTTGTAAGCTTTGCTGGCCTTGCCTGCCCATTGACGCTTTTCTTGGAGATCATCTTTTGTCAAGTCATCAACACAGAAGTATTGATCATCAGATAGTGCTTGACGTTGTTTGCAAAGGACTGCAACTTTGTCTTGGTAGCAATTGAATTTGCCATAAAAGTCAGTTGCTAAATATACTTTATTAAAAAAGTTTAGTCTTGCCTATTTCAAAGTGTTAATATGTTTGCCACAAGATTTCTCAAAGTGTTTCTTACTTATAAGAATTCACATAAGATTCTTCGTTTTTATGTCTTCTAGTTAGAAATTATGTAGGGCACTGTAAAACTTTCTTTAATGAAGAGTTTTAATTCTGTGTATACTTTTGGTGTCTTTTCTTCTGAGACACCTGTCCTGAAAATTCTTTAAGAGTGTGTGTACACATGGTGTACTTTCCAGGTACATGTATGTACATGTATGTACTTACCACATGAAATATGTACATACCAGTATGTATATGCAACCTTAAGTGCAAAGTACATGTACTTTCAAAGTCCATTGATGACTCTTGATGTTTCTTTGGAGACTGAAACTTAGTTTTTGGAGGATTTGATGACTGAAACTTAGTTTTTGGAGGATGTGATGCCTCTTTCTTAGAAAGTTTCTCAACAGTCATCCAATGTGATGACTGTGATGCCAGTTTTTGATGACCATTGATGCCTCATGATGACCTTTGATGCCTAAATGATGACGAGTGATGCCTTATGATGACGAGTGATGCCTTATGATGACTGTTTGATGCCTGTTGATGACCCGTTGATGACCTTTTGATGCCTGTTGATGACCGTTTGATGCCTGTTGATGACTTTTTTGCCTACTGATGACCAAATGATGCCCAATTCTACTGATGATGACCGATTTTTCTAGTAGGGGTAGTAGAGTACTTTTCCACGAGTATGAGTACGAGTACTTTGCCACGAGTACGAGTTCGAGTACTTTGCCATGAGTACGAGTACTTTGCCATGAGTACCTACATGTACAGCAGTGTCAGTTATAATGGCATATTGAAGGCCTACCTAAACTTGCTTTGCACAACAACTTTCAATGCATTCATACTGCAAGCTTTAAAAATAAATTAAAAATATGTATTTTTTCGGTAACGGAAGGACATTTTCGAAGGCTGAAATATTAGAAGTCACTGAAGCGAAACAAATTAGGCAAAACCTAAAAAAAAAATTGTCGGTTTTTCAAGACCAATACTTTCTCATGACAGAAACTGATGGCATTAGTACATATTTTTGTGTGTGTATTGTAGAATACTTTCATATCACTATTACTCACATTTTTAGGATTAAAACAGGATTATTACGTAATCCTATTTTTTGGTACCGAAATGTATCAAAAATAAAAATCCGACTTCAAATCTTGAAACTATAGACTTTAGTTTCAGCTTTCATTTGACGTCAAATTTGTTTACATGTAAGTCACATGTATTTGAATTGTTTTGTGTCATGTCCACTTTGGTGTGGAATTGCCCTATATTAAATAGACTGGCGCAAGTCCTGCCTCTAATTAAAAGTTAAGAGCCATCTTAAAAGTTTGAAAATCTTACTCGGTTTTCCAGGCTTCGCAGCCGCAGTCACTGCACCTTTGTCGTTACCCTATCACTGTAGAAAATTGTTGGACTTGGACTTGGATGGCTGAGGAGGTGTTGAGTTGAAGAACGCAAGGCGCGGTTGGGTTTATGTTCGGTTAGGAGTTCACTGATATATGATGGTGCCATGTCGTTGAGCGCCTTGAATGTCAGAAGTGCAATCTTGTAGTGGATACGTTGCCTTACTGGTAGCCAATGCAGGTCACGAAGGATGGGTTGTATGTGATCATGTTTCTTGCATCGGGTCACCAACCGGGCTGCAGAGTTTTGGACTCTTTGTAACTTATTAATCTCACAGTCCGGAAGTCCATAGAGGAGACTGTTACAGAAGTCAAGACGGGAGGACACAAACGCGTGGACTAACCGTTCAACCGACTTACGATCGACATATCGATTGAGTTTACCAATTTTGTAAATTGCGAAAGAAGCAGCCTGAACGACATTTTTCACGTGATCTTTCATGTGAAGTGTGTGGTCGATGGTCACTCCAAGATTCCTTGCAACACTAACTGTTTCAATGTCAAATTCACCGACAGTGAGTTTAGGGAACGCCGGGGTCTTCAGAAACTTATAACTGATGTGGACGATCTCAGTCTTGGAGCCGTTCAGTATCAGGTTATTGGCAGCTGTCCAAACCTTGATATCTCGCAAATACTCCCCTAGTCTCGATGTAGCTTCTGAACGTTCCTGTCGTTGCAGTGTAAGATAAAGCTGAGTGTCATCAGCGTATGTCATGTAGTTGATTCCATGAGCGCTTGGAGAATATCTCCAAGGGGAGCAGTCACATTGTGAAGATGACTGGGCCTAATACGGATCCTTGGGGTACTCCGTGCTCAAGTATGTGCATATGCGACAGTACATCTCAAATTCTCACAGCTTGCAACCGACCCTGAAGATAAGATTGGAAACAATCAAGGGCGGATCCAGTGATGCCGTAACGATCGCGCAGACGTTGGATGAGAAGTTGATGGTTAATTGTGTCAAACGCCGCGGAGAAATCCAACAGGATGAGAACCGCCTCCTGTTGTTGATCTAAAGCTCGCAAGAGGTCGTTCTGAACGCGAAGCAGGGCTGTTTCTGTACTGTGAAATAGTCGGTAGGCAGATTGCATTGGTGAATGAAGACTGTGTTCATCAAGATAGTCAGTAAGCTGTGTCACAACAGCTCGCTCAATGGTTTTGAAGAGAAACTTCAAGTTTGAAATCGGCCGATAATTCTTCATTTCGTTCCGATCCAAAGTGGTCTTCTTGAGCACAGGAGTAACATGAGCCTCTTCTCCTGCTGCAGGCGCAGTATGGTGGTAGATGCGTCCCCGTCCTTCAGGAACTCGGTGAGGGTACCCGTGTGTTGGGCTGCGTGGAGGAGACGGTCTATGTGGCAATGCAAGTCGATGAAATTAAGTGGGGAATCTGGTGCCCGTGGGGGAAGAGGTGACTCTAGTTGAGGTGGGGGAATGGAGTGCTCCAGTTCGGGTGGTGGAAGCTCACAGATATCTGGCTCTACAGGCGGTGGGATAGGGGTCTCCGGTCTAGGTGGGGCAACCAATGACAGGACGCGTCGGAGGGTCCTCCATTGTTGCACCTTAAATTAAAAATAACATCTTGCTCTCATTTTAGTAATTTCCCTATGTCCTGATCCTTATGCTGTAGCTCGCGTAATTGCTGTGTTGAGTATTTAGTAAACAAGGAGATGTTCTCGTCAACCAACAGACATCGGTTTGAGTCAGTCTTCTCATTTACACATGCATTTTCAGTGACAGCGTTAGAGACGTGGCTGATCGGTCTTTTGGGGGCTAGTTAATGGAGTTACATTAGCGTTGATATTTGAGATTTCTCGCACTGGAAGAGGAATGACATCATCGACGTCATCTTCGAATCGTTTCCACTGTTTATGAACTCGCGTACAGTACTGACAACCACCACAGGGGAGGGTGTCTACGTTACAACCCGCATAATAACAGTCGCAGAATGGAGTTGTGTTTGGGATACGTGAAAGAGTGTCGGCGTCAATGTGTTTGACCCCTTTTCTGTGAAGTTTTATCATGTCATACTCACACTGGCTTAGTTCCTCTACCCATCTTGCTAACATACCAGAAATCAGTTTAAATCTTGTTAACCAAGCCAAACTGCTGTGGTCCGTTCTTATGTAAAATTGGCGCCCCAGCAAGTAATGGCGGAATTGGCGAGTAAAACGTACTACTGCTAGTAGTTCCTTTCTAGTTAGACCAATAAAGAGGTGTTAGACCAATAAAGAGGTTGGGAAATCGCCTGCACCAGGTTCTTGCCGTCTTCCAGTTGTTGATGAAACAATGGAGGTGGATCTTCCATTGTTGGGGAAGAATCTCCGAGACGATTTCCAGGCATTCGTCATTAGCTTCACGGCAATGGAGCACAACTGGTTTACTTAATTCGACGGCCGTTCTCAAGAGTTGTCGAAAGACGGACTGCTGGACAGCTTTTGATCGCTCGTTCCCTCGGGAGTAGTCAAGCCCCACTTCTCCCAGGGCACAGGTATTCATAAAGTATCTAATAAATTACAATTATTTACACAAGTAATTCATAAATCACTGCCACCTTCAGTAATTGTCTCTCTTTCTCTGATCAAAAGTCACTGTGTGTGGTCAACACTTGATCTCCTGTCTTCCTCTGCTGAGCGTTCTCCAGCATCTCCACCTGGGAAGAAACGGGGGTATTTCAGTCAGAAACAAGGATATTTAAAAACGGGGGTATTTAAAAACGGGGGGTATTTAAAAACAGGGGTATTTAAAAACAGGAGTATTTAACATCATTTTATACCAAAAGTCAGAAAATATAATTAGTTAAAATATAAACTATAAATTAGTGAACAATGAGAAAAGGTACATACAAACAAAATGTTGACATGGAATGACCCAATATAAAAATTGACATGTCACTGATAAAAAAGCACTGATCAAAAGTCATTGTGGGTGGTCATCACTTGATCTCATATCTTTCTCTCCTCTACCAGTTGACTCTCCAGCATCTCCACCTGGGCTGAAGGTTGGCAGTCAAAAATAGATGAACTGTTTACGTTTTCACTTTGGACTCTCACGTTCTGTGTGTTCTCTCCCTTCGGGGTCTCTGTCTCCCCATGTTTCACCGTCAAGAACTAAACACATACCAGGTTAAATTTTATCAACAGTGCAGTATGCGACATCTGTTAACTCCAATCTCGGCAGCGAGAGAGACTGTTGGGACAAAGCCTAGCCTTCCCAAACACAACACTGCTGCGTACCTGCGTTCAGAAGCATCATTGAAAAAAATTAAGATGATAAACCACACCATCCCTGAGCTCCCTTGGCTTCAGAAATCTGAACAAGTTGCCAAAACAACTACCAAAAATACATGATTATAGCCAAAAATCAGGTTTTGTGACCAAAAAAGTATTTTTTTGGCCCCCCAAAAAACACCCTTTACTACATTCCATCCCACTGACATACCTCTCAAATGAAAGATCTTGTTGTTCCCTTTCATTTGATGCCACACTTGTTGTTGTGATGTTGGTAGTTCTGAAGATATTATCAATTTATAATTGTTTCATGTAATAATTAGCTGATGACGTCATAATGAAGTCATAAATTGACCTTTTAATCATCCAATTTCTTGCGTCCGTCTTTTCTTCGAAAAGAGAGATGCTTTGGTGAAAAAATTGTGCTTTTATCCACCTTGTAACGATTTTTTTCACTAAGGTACCTGGTTATTTTTTCTGTAATCTTTTCCATTTTTTTTTCGTGCACATCCAATTCCTTCTGGATACGGTCGATGTGAAGCTGTTGGGATACCAAAATACAAGTAACGAATGTTAACGAGTGCAATGGTAAGAATAATTTCATGAGGGGGCAGACGGAATATTCCATTCCACAAGGCGAAGCTGGGTGGAATGGAATAAGTGACTGCTCGTAGTTCAGCTGTTGGAATACAAAAAAAACAAAGACAGATTTTTTTATGAGTGCAATGGTAAGAATGATTTTATGAGGAGTGCGTTCGATTACTTCCCCCAGTTTACTCGCGCCTGGCTCCTCGCGTAATGACAGACACGCGCAGTGAAGCTAAATAAACGGTTTCGGGTAAAGTTTCGTGCAAGAGCTGGAAATATGGGCATCGCCAGGATTTTTTCTCGAGGGGGGCAAAACATATTTTCCAAAAAATTCATGTTTTTCTCAACATATTCTCGATTTATCATTTTTCATGGTTTTAGTGGGGGGTAGGGACATTTTTGCAGGAGAAGTAATTGAATGCACTGGAGGTGACAGACGGACTGTTCCATTCCACAAGGAACATTCCATCTGTCACCAATTACTCTGTTCATTGCACTTACCGCACCTTGGCCTTGGCCAGTTCGCCCCTTGAGTCGCACAGCTGGCTCTGCAGCTGGATATTGGTCTGCAGCAGGTCGCTCTTTTCCTGTTGCAGGCGAAGAATGGTGGTGGATGCGGCATCATTTTCTCGCATCTTCTTGGGGCCTGAGTTGGACAATCGAGCGAGATTCAGAGATGGTCTGTTCTCGTCAACAATTATAATCTTTTTTAATGTTGGTCTGCAGCAGGTCGCTCTTTTCCTGTTGCAGGCGAAGAATGGTGGTGGATGCGGCATCATTTTCTCGCATCTTCTTGGGGCCTGAGTTGGACAATCGAGCGAGATTCAGAGATGGTCTGTTCTCGTCAACAATTATAATCTTTTTAAAAAAATTTTTTTAAACTTCTCCCAAAGACTTTTATCAGATTTTAACAAAACAGGTATTCTTTTTCTACTGTGGGCATCTGGATTGTTACAAAGTGTAATTATCTCATTTAAAAAAAAAATGTTTTGGTGTCAACGATTTCTACATTGATTTTTTTCTCCACATTGAAAAAAAAATGCACAATAGACCTTTATCATAGTGCCACCATTTCAGTCATGTTCCCTGTATCCAATAATAGTATTGAATGATAATGTTTTTTGTGCAAAAAGGAACCAGACAGTTTTTTCTTCCAGCCTGCGTATTTTATTTTTGCAGCGTACATCCTATTTTAACCATTTAATTTTAACGCTGTCGCGCTTGCATGAGTAAGCGCGGGGGAAGTAATCGAACGCACTGGAGGTGACAGACGGACTGTTCCATTCCACAAGGTGAAGCCGGGTGGAATGGAACATTCCATCTGTCACCAATTACTGTGTCGAAACTTTCATTCGGCCCGTTCCAGCGCATCCTGCTTGTTGCTGGTTGTTCAAATGTCTTCAAATAAATTGGTTAAACCTCTTGCCTGGTATTAAGAATTTTCTAATGATTCAGTTTTTTTCTTCTTTTTTTTCTTCCAACGAAAAGGCAGTGATCTTAAAGTTCTTGTCTTACCATTATAAGTATTATTCGTAATTTAAGCACTTTTATCTTCTTTCTTTTCTCTTCATTTTTCTTGGTACGCTCCTTGTTTTCTTAATGAACAAAATTAAATTCAACTCGATCTTGTAATCCTTAAAAACCACTTGTTTCTGTCATTCAACAGTAAGGCTTTAAAGTTTTCATTTCAAAAGCTTAATCATTCCTAATAACAATTTATTGTTGGCAAAATAATTTGCGTTTACAAACATAACCACGTTATATTTTGGTCAATACCATTTTTTTTTCTTGAAAGTCCCTTCTTGGTTGGACTTTGTTCAACTTTAAACGGCCTATGAAATAATATTTTTCTAGACTTTCAAACAACTCTTTATTCATTCCGACAAAAGAGGTTTCTTTGCCGAACAGACTCTTTTTTCTTTTTTTTTAAACTTAAATTAGTACAAAAAACTACTTAAACAAAAAGGCACTCCATGGGCCCCTTATTTCTGGAAGACAAGTTGCTGGTGTACATGTAATTAAAAAGTAACACCGTACAGAAATGTGGTGTTGCGCAGGCAATGTGTCTGGTCATCTTCCTCATTCATCCGTCGGATGCAGGCAACCTCGTGGGCGACTAGGCGGGCATTTGTTGGGTTGCTGTAGCTCGAGCGGGACCATGGAGGAATGAAGTGGGGGGCGTCCGTTTCCAGTACGAGCTGTTCCAGCGGAATTCTTTTGGCCACCTCTTTAAACTCTGGATCATTCTTCATGATGATAGGTGTTAGGCCAAAAAAGAGGTTTGGAAAAAGCCTGCACCAGGTTCTTGCCGTCTTCCAGTTGTTGATGAAACAATGGAGGTGGATCTTCCATTGTTGGAGAAGAATCTCTTTCTTTGTAGCAAGAATGTTTGAATATGAAATAAGTGTAAATGATTGAAGTTCCCAGTAAAAGGGAGTGTGAGGATAGAGGATAGAGGTGTCAATTATTGTTACAATTCCCTTCCAAGCAGGCCCATCACGGAGGGGGGGATGGGGTGGGTGGGCAGAGGCCGCCCCCCAAAGGGGCAACTGCCCCTCCCCTCGACAAAAACCATAAGCGTAAAACGTATAGAGGTGTGTTATTGCTTGTAGTGTGCCTCCCTAATTCATACTGTGGCCCCCCTAATGCCCGGGGCTGGTGACAATTAGTAAATCCATGATGTCCTGGTTGATGATCCCTGAAAGCCAGCTTGATTCTGCCTGTGGAATCTAGCTTCCCTGAAGACCTGAATCTTCCTGGTTGATAGTGCATCATATCAAGTCTTCAGGATCAACTTTTCTTGTCAAGGTTGCATAATTACAAAATCATCTTTGCCTTTGCTTGCCCTGTCTGATGTCTCTTCAGAAAAAAATCCTGCACATAAAAAAATCCTGCACATAAAAAAATCAATCCAATACAAAAGACCAAGTTTACACGGGTGTTTCCTAAAATATAGAAATGTGGATAAACTGTACGATCCAAGAAGAAAGCGTCTGCAAAGCATGCCGGCAGGAAAGTTCAACATACCTTCATCAGTGAAGTCCTCCTGAAAGTCAAAGTCCAGGCCGTTCGGGTCATGGGGTCTCAGTTTCTGCCTCAGAGCCCGATTCGCCTGCCAGAAAAGGTTGACATGTAACAAACAAACAGTAAGTTAAACTTAATAATTAAACAGCAAATGTACAATAAATGTGTTAATCAAAAACTAGAAAACAAAATGAGTTAAAATATAAACTATAGAATATTCATCAATGAGAACGGCTACATACAACGAATATATTGACATGGAAAGCTGACCCAATATTAATGCTTGATCTCCTCCCTTAATGTCCTTTTCCAGCTCCTCTCTCCGTTGTCTCTCCTCTTCTATGTCCACCTCCATCGCACAAGTCATTTTGACCCAGAAATTTGGGAGGAGGATATCCTCTCCCATGTGGTGATTACTAACCTTGATGTCCTCTGTGGAGATCAGCTCCTTGATAATGTCCTCAATGACGTCTTCCAATTTTGCATCTTGTGCATCTTGTGCATCCTAGGGCATCGAGAAATGGGGGAACATGAATCTAGTTAATATAACCCTTGCTTGTAGTAGTGAAATTGATCCCACAGGTTCGGTTCGGTTGCGGCTAAGGTTCAGATTTTTTCCCTGAATGTTTTGTGCATGGCTCAGGCTGTGTTCCATAA